CAGCTTCGCCTCCAGGTTTAGCAGATTCAGTGTTCTGTTTTGGTATAAGATTTCTAGTTCTAACTGTTGCTTTTCAATTTCTTTATTTTGTTGTAGTATCTGAAATTCCCTCTCCCTAGCTTCCTGTTCTAACTGTAATTCTTTCACTCTAATTTGCTTCTCTAAGTTTTCCTTTTCTATCCTATCAGTCATAATACTTTCTAACAAATTTTTAACAAATTCTTCCTCATAATTTTTACTATTCGTTATTAATTGTTTTAAATCTATCACTTTCATATCTTCTAAAGCTACTTCTCCAAGTTCTGTTGTGACAAGGAATAGATCCTTTTTCTTAGCTTTCCCAAAAATGCCATTTCACAAAAGTAATTGTTCAGAACAAATAAGAATTCAAATACAGTCAAAAGTCGTTAATTCGGACACCCATATTCCGGAATGTTCTATAATCCGGACCTCAAAGCTACACGCTCAAAGGACGCGTTGACGCATGCGCGTAAGACCTTTACGGCTGCAAATATGCGTGTGCGCATGCGCAAAATATGTTTATGAATGCGCGTTTAATGTATAATAAACGTTATAAGCTAAGCTAAAATTATGTAATTCAGTTAATGTTGCAGATTGCATTGTTCCTTAATCTTCGAATTGGATCCGGCTTATTATTTTTTGCAGACTGTTAGAGCAATTTTATAAAAGTAAGCTTTTACTTTCGATCATGTCAAATAGAATTTCTGATATATATTTACTAATATGTAAAGGATCTACAAAGTGAAAGTATGTTTCGAAGTCCATTAAACAAAAAGTGGAATTGCTGCAAAAAATGGATAAAGGATAATGGATTTGTTTATCTAACCATTCCGAAATCTGTTTATCAATTGCACGCTGCTCTGCATGCATGTGTGTGTTGTGTGGGGGGGGGGACGTCGTGGCGCGCAATGAAGTGGAAGTTGATCTGTAAGCACTATCCTTATCTTCAGGGCAGATGTTTTTATTTTATTTGGCTTATAATTCCTTACTAAATGTAGTATTTCATCTCGATGTACTCCGTCTGTGATATGATTTAAATCAAATTCCTTGTCATAATAATTCGCTTCTGATAGCGATCGAAAACGAAAGAATTTCGATTGACAAATTAGTCGGTATTCCTGACACAGCAGTTATAGGACTTGAACAGCGGAACTTTGTAATTGAACAAGAAATTATGTCTGTTTATTAAATTAAAGAGAAAGTATTATCACATAAAAAACGAAGCAACTCAAACAACTTACATTGAAAGAAATGTTTAATAAAGTAAACAAATAAATATTAAGCTTTTTTTTTTAATTTTGATACCCTTTAGATCATAATTGTTCTTTATTTCATAAGTTATGGTTTCATATTTTAAATTTTATAATTTCTGCATGCCATCTTACCAGATTTAAACTGATGATCTATAATCCGGAATCGCCGAAGTCCCGACGAGTCCGGATTAGCGACTTTTGACTGTAGTTATTCACAAATAATACACATAAAAATAAATCAGAGATATAAAAACACTAACTTTTCTTCTTTCTTACAAAATTAGGAAAATGAAAGTGAAAGCATTAATCATTTTGAATTTATTTCCATTAAAGCATAAAACGAATAAACATCCTTACTGAGTATTCTGTATTAAAAAATTAATAACAAATTCTTTTCATCCAGTACAGCCAGACAGAGAAAAACGCCAATAAATATAAACACCTCTAATTAACTTTCATTTTCATAACAGCTACTTCCATTGGCAACCACATGGCCAGCACAAATACTACCTGAATCGATAGGCACAGGTTTAAATCAGTAACATTTTGTTACTGCTCAAAGCTTTAAAATTTAAAATGAAATGATAAAATTTTACATTCTACTTATCAGAAAATACACATAAATACAGCACTGATGTGCTTTCATGAAAAAACCAAAGTAACAAGTTTGTAATACATTCAACAACTTATTTCTTTCACAAGCATTTAACATAAATTTTCTTGTAACTAATGACTTAGAACTGAAAATTGCAATTTTACACTGATGTGCTTTCACATATACATAAAAAATACAGTTCAGATTCTATCACACCGATTTATAGCTAAACTTTAAACATAAATACACTGATGTGCTGTTTATTGACGGGAATGGATTTTTTCCATTATCATACAAAAGAAAAATATCTCGTTAGATATATAAATGCAACACTTTGATTGTTTTAAAAACTCTTATGCACTGACGTGCTATAAAATGCACTGATGTGCTACTTGTTAATGGGAAAATGTTTTCCCGAATATACCACAAAAGGAAAATATCTTGTTACATATATAACCAAACACATTGAGTGCTTAAACTTGTATGCACTGACGTGCTACGGGAATTGATTTCCCGAATAAGTAATAAATAACTACATTATACTCTTCAGGCCTGGAAATGAATATTGTAGAGAACACATACCTGGTCTCTTGTCACACAAATCTTGGTTGGAACGTCCAGTTTTTATTTATTTTTTGTCTGTGACGTCGTGGAATGTTTAAGTTGAAACGGAATCAACACTGGTAGTGGTGATGCATCACTTTTAATTCACAGCACATATCACAGATACAACATTTAATTAATAACATTTAGAAAACGGGAGTACATATCCGAGTTTGGTGGACACGATCAGAGATGTTAGCGAAGATAGCACTCGTCATCACTGGACGAATAAAGTCTCCACACCTCAGCTCACTGGCAGAGCTTCCCAAACTCTCTCTCCGCCAGGCATCCGACCAGAAATCTCTTCTCTTTACGCATGCGCATTACTCAGTTACGTCATTGCCATTCACAGTTCTTTAAAATAGGTATTAAAAATGAATTATAGCTCTCGTAGTGTGAGGAGTCTGCTAACGAAGTTCTCTCTAGTCGAGAGCATCATAGGTCTTTCTAGTAGAGAGTTCAGGAGCGTTCTTTACAGCACTAACCAGAAGGTTGTAATGAGGTCACCCTACCCAGAAAAGATTTGTAGTTATTTTAGCACAGAATAGCACTATACTAAAGTTAGTTATATCAAAAGAAACACAGTGTCAAAATAATATATAAAAAACACTCTCTTCCTTAAAAGAAAACATTTTACAGGGCTTAGAAATGACACAGTTTAAATAACATCAATAAAATCCTTTTCTGTTAATTATTTCTATTCTCAAAAAAAAAAAAAAAAAAAAAAAAAAAAAAAATCATGGATACACTTATAAAACTTAAAGAATTACGCACATCTGAAATGTATATCAATCAGTATAAAAAAATAACATTTTGCCAGGAAGAATCTTACCATTCTTTAAATCATCAAATATAAACAATTTTCAGCAATGTAACCGTAAATGCAAGAAAAAAAAATATCAATAAATAAAACTGTTATGTAGGCAACAGGATAATAAACATGTTGTTGTGCCACTGGTTCGTCAAGTTAAGCTCAAATCGAAACTATGTTTATAAGATTGAATACATTCAGCATATTATAATAATAATTTCCAATGCAGAATTTTACTCTTTAAATGCCTTGCTTTGAATATGTTACACCTTTTTATGTTTTACTATTATTTCAATTCAGTAAAAAACAGATCATTCAAAATTCTAGATAAGCAAATGAAGAAAGGTTGCTTACCTTTATGATCTGCGTTCTTCGATTCTGGTCTGCCGCTTTGGTAGACTATCCGATTTGGTTTCAAACTCATCTAAAATTGGCACTATTTTGTATGAATCGCTTTATTTGACATTTCACACAAAAGAGGAACAATATCAAATCATTACAACATCAAAACACTTCTAACTACTTAGCGTCATTGTTCCACATATGTAAAAGCGTCACTATTCTAAAAGCATACACTCATCGTTGCCAGTTCTCAAAACAAACTTTCTTTTTAGATTCTTTTCAGTCTTGTTAATTCTTCTTTCTTTACCAGAATACGAACAGGTTCCCTCATAAATTTCTTAGTTACCTCCAGGACATCTATTGGCATAGTAGCAGACAGCAAGATAACCTTTAAATAAGAGTTATAAACTTATAGTTATTCTATAGGCTTATTCCGTTCCCCAATGAGCGGAGCGTGCATCGTTCGCGACATTTACCACATTTACTATTTCGAAACAAAACTGAATATTACTGTTATGCAGTTCTCAAACACTCATTATGTGTAAACAAAATGAAAAAAATTCTTAATCACTTAAATGATACAATATTCATAAAATATACTTTAAGAACACAGTAAAGTATTTTTACATTTTCATATTTAAATATTTTCATGTTTTCAACATTAAGAGTTAACACATTATGGAACTAGTGTTTAAATGCAAAACAAATTATATCATTGACAACAACTATTTGTTGCTAATAAGCTATGGGAGTGGCACATACACAAAAAAATTCATACCTGACAGGCGAGGCATTTCTTTTCCTAAAGTTTTAGGAGTTGGATCCAGCGGGTGTGGATGCAAGTACTATTTCTGAAAAAGAAAACGAGCAAAAGCCAAGGAAAATTCTTAGAGCTAAACATTAACATTGGACGTCACTTTGTGAGGGGGTCGTTTTAGATGGATGATGAGTCCTGTATAGTGTAACAAGTATTTAACAGGTTTAAATTACACACGGGCATTACATTTAACTTTAAGAAAATTACAGAACAAGAGTCTGATACAACCTGTCAAGTGGGACACCTGGCTTTTACTGAAGTAATTCTGTGGCTACTCACCAGAGGGAACCCCTGTTGTCACAGTTAGTCGAACAGTTTATGTTTAAGAATTGGTTATAGTGATAATTTAAGTCATAATATTTGTAGTAACGTAAGTCATAATATCTGTTCATTCAGTATATTGGTTAATGTTTATTTAATGTCAGCTTAGTAGCTGGGACATTGGTATATAGCACAAGATTTTTGATAGAATTTATTTTGCATGAGAATGTTAGGCATTGTTTCCAAAAATGCTGTTGACGACCTTCAGTTTAAGAAATTTTCTTGATTTTCTTTTAGGAACGGACCATATCAAAATATTTGTTTTAGATGAAGCAGATGAAATGCTTTCACGAGGATTTAAGGATCAAATTTATGATGTATTTAGGACTTTAAATTCAAATATTCAAGTAAGTGTTCTATAATTTTGTTTTAATATTGAATCTGAATTTGTGCTTTAATGTTGAAGAGAATTAATGAGATACCAATTGTAACTGTGCAAATTTTTAAATTTATTATCATAATTGCATCATTTTTGCAAATTGCAAAAATTTCCACTCCTCTTTTTTTCAAAAAGAAAATGAAAACTAAATTTAAAAAAAAAAAAAAATTAAAAAAAAGTAGTTTTTTAAAGCGTTTTGTGAGTTGTCCCCCCCCCAAATGCAGGAACGTTTAAAATTTTAATCACACTGTTTCTTTCTTTCTTTCTTTTTTTTAATTGCATGCATATGTATATGTATTGCTGATATTTAGGGTTTTTTAATTTAAATTTTGATTTCTTGTAATTTAAAAATATTCACCAAGTATCTTCAAAACTAATTTTAATTTCAAATGTAGTTTGTAAGCTTAATGATTTCGTCTGTCCTTTTTTGTGTAAAAACATTTGCAAATGAAATAAAGTGTAATAGGTGAAAGCCAAATAAGAGCTACTGATATAGATACAGCCTACTGATATAGATATAAAAAGAAAAAAAGAATAAACAAAGTGAGTAAAATCATAAGGTATTTCTCCGGCCTTCTTAACGTGCCTTCGTGGTGTAGTGGTTCTGCGTGCTGGGCCGGTATTCCAGAGGTCCGTGGTTCGATTCCCAGCGAAGGCAGTTGCTAATTTTTCATCTTGCCTGCTTCCAAAAATACCTAATGTCTGTACAGTGGCGCAGAACTAAAAGAGTGTTATATGATGATTTTCCTCTTCCAGGATTTGGTGATTGGGTCCCCTAAAATCCCAGTCGCCCTTTAAAAGGGGGAGTATATAACGTATTTCTCCCGCCTTCGTGATGTAGTGCTTCTGCACGCTGGGCTGGTACTTCAGAGGTCCGTGGTTCGATCCCGGAGAAGGCGGTTGCTAATTTTTCATCTTGCCTGCTTCCAAAAATGCTTAATGTCTCTACAAAATTACCAAAAGGAAAATTATCTCAGACATATTGAAATCAACATGAAATATAGTTTTGTTTCTTTTTCAAAGAAAATGTGAAATAATTTTGTAAAAATTGTAATAGAAATAAAATAAATTAAAACTAGAGCATAAATCAAACAGCAAGTGGGTTGTGACATACAGCGAAATAATGAATGTATATTAAAGTAAATGATTACAATATATATATATATATATATTAAAATGTGACTAATTTTTTGTTCATGTTTTTTAATATTTTCATTCCAATTAAAGAAATTTTAAACTGTTTAGGAATTCAAACTATAAGTTTATAACTCTTATTTAAAGGTTATCTTGCTGTCTGCTACTATGCCAATAGATGTCCTGGAGGTAACTAAGAAATTTATGAGGGAACCTGTTCGTATTCTGGTAAAGAAAGAAGAATTAACATTGGAAGGTATAAAGCAGTTCTACATATCAGTTGAAAGAGAGGTGTGTTTTTTTTTTCTTTTAATTTTTATTAAACTATGCAAGTGTGGGTCTTTTTTTTTTTTTTTTTTTTTGAAAAGTTTATTAACTTTGTTTTGATAAATTTTCATTGTGCGCAATGAAGTATGTTGGGTCAGAAAACTCAAAAGTTTTACTAACCCTCTAGTTGAGTGTCTCAAACTGGTGGCTCCCTGGAACGATATGTGTGATCTGCGAATATATTTCCCATTAATGAGCATTATTATGACATTAATTTTTATGGCAAGGATCTGAAGAAATTTTTCAAAACGGTCATATTTCAATAATTTTGAGCCCAGTTTTTCATTATTTTCATTACCATTAAAGATGAACGTGAGTAACGTGAGTAGGCCCACCAACGGCTGAGCGGTAAAGTCGCTGAACACTGGTAGTTCGGTCTGAGGTTCGAATCCTGTGAACGGGCTGGCTGCGTGGGTGTTTTTGTGGTTTTCCCCATGTGCAATGTGTATACGAGCCAGTTTCCCTTAGAAAGTCCTCCACGAAGGCGTTCCTTCCTCTTAGGCAGATAGCCCTAGTGTGCTTTGCCATAATTAAATACACCAACACATCTTAATCTTCTAAATTGGATACGGCTTATTATTTTTTGCAGACTGTAGAGCAATTTTATAAAAATTAAGCTTGAACTTTCGATTATGTCAAAAAGAGTTTCTGATTCTGGAGCAGCCAAAGGATATACAAAGCGAAAGCATGTTTTGATGTCCATCAAACAAAATGTGGAATTGCTGCAGAAAATGAATAAAGGCATAAAAAAAGTGACAGAGAGGTTAGTGAAAACAAAAAAATTTCGATTGGCAAGTTAGTCGGTATTCTCGGCACAGCAGTTACACTACTTGAACAGTGGAACTTTGTAACTGAACAAGAAATTATGTCTGTTTATAGAATTAAAGAGAAAGTATTAGCACAAAAAACGAAGCAACTTAAACAAGTTACATTGAAAGAAATGTTTAATAAAGTAAACAAGTAAATATTAAGCTTTTTTTTTTTTTTTGAAACCCTTTAAATTATAATTGCTCTTTATTTCATATATTACGGTTTTGTATTTTTTATTATATAATTTCTGCATGCCATCTTACCAGATTTAAATTGATGATCTATAATCCGGAATCCCCGAAGTACCGATGAGTCCGGGTTAAAGACTTTGTACTGTATATTGTCTCAATACAGGCAAAGTTCTTGCAAAATTTGTAAATTTAATTGAAGAACTGAAAAATTATACTAGTACCCCAAATCAAAATTTTTCTGAACTAATGGGCTTTCACAGGCTAGTGGATTTAGGTTTTCTCACAGACATAATTGAGCAACCGAATTATTTAAATTTTGAGCTGCAATAAAAAAATAAACAAATTGCTTTAATGATAGGATCTCTCAAATGTTGTAAAGCTAAACTGGTTGTGTGGCTATCACTTCTGCTGCTAAAGTCACTTGTTCATTTCCCAAGTATGAAAAAAGGGTAAGCAAAACTGAAATCAGCTTTTCTTCATTTGTCATCAACATTTAGTTACTTCAAGACCAGTTTGTAAAAATATTTCAACAATTTAACATTATTGAGCCAATGGCCATCTTTTTCAACAGTCCTTTTACTTGCTAAATTAATGTAAGCTACATACATTGCAGAATTTATTCAGCAAGAACAGAAGAACTATAGCTAAAAATTTTGGATCATCAAAATGACGTTGTCAAGTCCAGTGTATCAGATGAGAACTTTTGGAGAGAGCATCATACAAGACATTATTCCCCCCCCTACATACCAGAGTGAATCATTGTTTTTAACAATAAATAATGCAAAATCTAAACACGGATCTTAATTTTTGTGTGGACATCTTGTTTGTTTAGGATCAGGAATATCATCACACTCTCCTAGTTTTAAAGTAGTGGCGAATGAAATGCAATGTTGACTATGACTTTTAAGAATGATACCTTTTATAAAGAATTTTCTACTATCTAATGATAAACCAAAGAATTTATAAATTCTTATCTGTATTATTTAATAATTATTTATTTTATGCAAAAATACAAACAGTAATTTTATATTTAATTAAAATTATATTTTTGAATCATTTTCTGTATGTTATGTGTATTGTTAGTTATGTCAATGTATAAATTTATCTTGATAAAATAAATGTGCCCTGCATCCCACTGGTATTGTAAAATGTGCTCTAAGGTACAAAAAGGCTGGGGATCCCTGCTGTACATGATTGTTGTCTTCAACAGCCATAAGCTTGTGTTGCTTACTATGTATCTTGCATTGAATTAATTGTTCAATTCCAGACTGTTTGTACTATTTTGAAATTTATTTTAAACATTGCAGCGAGTTGTATTAATATGCAAACTTTATTAATCTTATTTGTTGTTATTTATATCGGTTTATGATGAAAAATAATGTGAAATGTTTGGCTTATCCTTTATTTTACAAATTTCTGAGAAGTATTGACTTTAGTAGCTAGTTTGCTTATGCGATAAAACAGATAATTATTGTGTTTTAGGACTGGAAACTGGACACTCTTTGTGATTTATATGAAACTCTGACTATTACTCAAGCTGTAATATTTTGCAACACTCGACGGAAAGTAGACTGGTTAATGGAGAAAATGCACAGTCGGGATTTTACAGTCTCAGCCTTAGTAAGACTTTCATCTTATTATTTAAAATGTAGGTTGCATGTTATGTCATAACATAAAATTGGCACAAGCTGTACAGCTTGGTTATATTAAACACATTGCAACTCTAATTAGCAGGTAAAACAGTATTTTATATAATTGATTTCAACTTGATTTTTAAAATTAGCTTTTAACACCATTTAAATCACTTTATTAGAACACATTTAACTAATTATCTGATGTGATGTTACATTAAGTTTCTTCACTTTTAAGGTATGGTAGTATTTTGCATATTTATTTCTCATAGACTTGTAATTATTTATTTTATTTTCAATTTGTTTTAAATACATGAACTCCTATACAAATTGAGAACTGTGAATTTCTGTACCACATTTCATCTTTTTACTGCTTATATTTTAACTTTGGTATCTTGTTGCATTTTTATGCATGTACAGATTTCTTTTAAACTTTCCAAGCATTATTCTTCTGTTATCTGGTATTTTTCCTGCTTTTTTAATTTTCGCTTTATACTTCACAGGCAGATTTTTTTATGGTGAAAATCTCATTTCGTGAATTGCAGTATTGGGCAAATGACATCACTTGAATTATGTGGTGTATTGCTGAAATTTTGAATAAGTGGGATACTCATGAATCAAGGGCTGCTATATATATGTTCATTATTTTTATTATGTTTGTGTATATAGAAGTGTAAGTATAATAAGTAGATTCTAGTAAGTGGGAAAAATTTTTATTTTTCAAGAAATGCTGAAAAGTGCAGTGAGGCAAATTTTATTTATACCGACTCCTCATAAACTGAAAAAAAGCTTAGTAAGGTTTACTATACTTAAACCGGATTTTTTTAAATTGATAATCTCTTAAAACTTAGTTGTACCTTTTTTATTTTTATTATTTTTTTAATATTTAGGTCTCAAATTGGAAATTTCTTTTCAGAGTATTTTTATTATGTTCTATAAATATCACAAAATTGTTGGTAAAATTTGCTTATGTTATTGGATTTGAAAAACTTCATTTTATTGGATTAGAAAGGAGTAAAAAGTAATTTTACATTTATTTTTTGCGTCTATAGCATGGTGACATGGACCAAAAGGAGAGAGATGTTATTATGCGAGAATTTCGTTCTGGATCTAGTCGAGTGCTCATAACAACTGATCTTCTAGCAAGAGGCATCGATGTGCAGCAGGTTTCTTTAGTCATAAATTATGATTTACCAACAAATAGAGAAAATTACATTCACAGGTAATGTAAAATTTTGGTTGCATTATAATATTGTAGAAATAAAAAACTTTAGGTACTTAGGTATTAATGCAACCACCTTGGCACAGTTTGGCGATTTTTTAAGAAGTAAAGGTGATTTGGTGAATTTTCAGATTGCAACTTACGATGGATATGATTATCTAAAGAACTGTTTTTGCCAACTTCTATTAAAGTGGTTGCGATGATACTAAGTACCGAACTTTATACACATATTATTATGCAGTTGATGATATTTGTAGATAGATTCATTGCTCAATAATATGCCTTTACTTTTTTTAGATGTTAATTTTTTGTTTTAAGAAAGTTTCAGCTTAAAAAAAAAGTGTTTCTGAATTGAAGATGAGTTTAGACATAAACATGAATATAATGAACGATGTCAAATGCAGTTTATATATATATATATAATTAAACATAAAGCTTCCAAAATTAAAAATAAAATGTAATTGGAATCAACACAAGGCAATTCACTATTAATAGTTAAAACTGTGGATAAAATGTCAAACATTGTAACTAAACATAATCAGAATTTAATATAATTCATCAGTAGAATAAACCTGAAAAGTAAAAAAGCAAATTGGTAAAGAAATAAAACTACAAATTAATATCCTTTGTCTGAAACCCTAATTCAGAACTCATTAGGGGAAAATGAATTAAAGTTTCATAAAAGTCGATTAATGTGTCTCGACTTAAGAACTGTCGTTTTAGATGCAAGTCTCCTATATATATATTTCTGTCATTTAATGTAATAAATAAGACTGGTTAAATTTTTACATCTTTATAAAAAAATAAAAATTATTTCATCATATTTTGTAGAAGTTTTGTATGAAAGTGTTTGGTAGCTCTTAAGGATTATTTCATTATGCTTCCTCAGAGAGACTGCTGTTTGGTCATGGAAATTAAAAGTTGCATTGTAGTAGGAACCCTTTGATTACTTATTTTAATAATCATCAGATTTTATTTATCATTAGAAAAGAATTCATTATTATTTTAAGGAATAATCTAATCTATTGTATATAATGCAAAACAAACTCATAACTGAATTTTAGTGTTCATGCCATTGAAAAGCTTCTTTTTTTTTTTTTTTTTTTTAACAAAGTTGTTTGATGTGTTTTCAAGGATTTGTATTTTACCAAAAGTATTATTTTTGCAGGATTGGAAGAGGAGGCCGTTTCGGTCGCAAAGGTGTAGCTATTAACTTTGTCACTGAAGACGACAAACGAACCTTGCGTGATATTGAGCAGTTCTACAATACCCAAATTGAGGAAATGCCTATGAATGTTGCGGACCTCATCTAAGGAAACATGTCTCCTAAAGCTTTGTGCTGTAAAGACATTTACCAAAATGAACTATAAGAATTTTTCAGGTCTTTATTTCGAAGAACTTGAATGATTACTTTTCAAAATAAGAATCATGCCTTTACTATGCATGGTTTTTAAAAAGTGACTAATAGCTGTAAAAACTGTTTTAATTACAGCATTTTTTTGATATAGTGCATCAGATTTGGAGGTGACTTTTATATACAAACATATAAAAACTTCCATGTATAGTGTAATCTGCTGTGTTTTATTCTGATATGTACTGAGTGCCTCTTTGTTGAACAAAAATCTATAACTAGATTTTTAATTCTTTGCTGTTTTTTTTTTTCTGGCCACCCCTTTTAATAGATTATGCATATCTAAAATATTTATAATTTTGCAGTGATTAATAGCATTATTTTTCTCGTCTAAAGTTGGTAATCAAGTTCATGTGGAAAGTGGGCATTGCTAAAAAGGATTATAATCAGAACTTAAGAGTGCTCACTTATTTTACTCAAACACTGCATAGTTTTATGGTGGACTATTATGAATATACCATGCCTTGCATATACCCATCAAGTAAACAAGCAAACTAAAATTAAAATTTTATTGAATATTTATATTATATAAAATTATTTTGTTTGCTGTAATTCCTGGTAACATGATTGCTAATATATTAGCAACTTCTATTGCTAATATATTAGCAATTAGATGTTCAATCCAGCTGCCAGCAGCACTCATTAAGTTCATTATTTGGCTTCTGCACCAAAATAGCATTGACAAAATTTTGCTTTTGACATCTGGCCATTACTATCTGCCCATTTTGTATCTAATTCTTTCCTTCTCTTTTTGGCCTTCAAATAGTTTTCACTATTATGTTTATAAAAACATTATTTTCTCTTTTTTGAATTATGTCTTGTATCACATAAAGCTGTAAGCTTTGTGTGCTATAATATTAAGACTGCAATTTACAAAAATGTATTCCCTCTCCATCCTGGTGGAAATATGTGCATTGAAGGGAAATGCAAATCTGTATGATTTTCTTTACAGTGTTGTACTGTAAAGAACTACATACTTTACAGTATTGTCTTTCCTTCTCTTTTTGGCTTTCAAATATATTGCATAAGAGAGATTTTTATGAATGACATTAAATTGTACTTTTCTTTTGAAATTTTAGGGAAAAATGTGTTCTGAAAAGTTATAAATTTTGAGAAGTCATTATTTATTTAGTGTGCTCAATGCTGAAATGCTTTTGCATTTTTGAAGTTTTTATAACATATATGTATCAGTGATAAATAAAATTCAAGACAATATAGTAAATTATATATATAATATTTAAAAAGACTTCATGAATTTTTTTTTAAAAAATGAAACAACATTAAAAGAATTAATAATACTAGTAAAAAGTGCTACTTGCTTTGGATTAGAAACTAAGGGCTTCTCAAAACAAAATATTGTAGGTTGGCGTGCTAATGTTAGTAAGTTAGAAGTTTTTACAGACTACCTCTGTACTTTATTAACAAGAATCAAAATGAATGACTTGTTCAAATTCTTCTTTTATTGCTGTTTCCTACAGGGTAGCCTTAAAAGGTATTCTATTTTATCTCCACTTTCACAGCATTTGCATTTTGTTTCTTATTTGCAGCACCCTGTATTGCCAACTAATAAGAATGGGCAGTAAAAATGGCCATTATATAATCCATAGTAAAAAGAAGAGTTAATGTTATATTATACAATTAAATGAATTTAGATTTCAACCTCGATTTTTCATGCTTATATTTAAAGTATATTTGCTTTGAAGGTTCTAAATAGTTGTGCCGAGTTTGATGAAATCATTAAGTCCAAGATCATGTACCTCCTTTGCTTAAGTAAATAATTTGGAAAAATCCTTTTGTGGTACTTAATATTAAGTGACATGAAGGAATATGAAAATTTTTCATACACTTGAAATATCTGGATCGTATAATATTTGAATTCGTTTAATTTTTCAAAATATAATTTTTGTTTCACTCATTAATCAGTTTAAAGATTATTGAATTAATATACTCAAATTTTGTCAATTTGAATTACATATACATTTGTATAATGATGTGTAATACTTATAATAAATATTGATAGTATCTTTTGTATTCAGTATATTTTTAATCAGTTTTTGAATATTTGAAAAAATAACTTGTATAATATATTGTTTATGAAAAATTTTATTTTCAACTCAATGAAAATGTAAGAAAGCAGAAGTGTATTGTTAATTTAAATTGGAAAAAAATGAGTCTTTTTAATTTTTAAATACTTGTGAAAATTTTTTAAGCATATATTTGTAAAAAGGGAAAAATAATGAAAGTGAGTGTAATTCTAAGTATCTTTTCTCCCTTCTCCAGTTTGTTAATTAAAAACCATGTATTTTTTTAAATGAGGTGAAAACGTTCTAGTATTCAGATTAAAAAAAATTGTGTATTTGAATGTCTAAAATATAAAAAAGTTGAAAGCCCCGTTAAAAATTTAAAAATTTTAATAAATAACTGATTAGAAATTTGTAGTTATTTTGTGAATAATGATTTGTTGCTCAAAAATTGTATGAAGCCTATATAAGCTTGTTTTTGAATTGCTTTGTTGTAGCTCAAATCTTCTGTAACTCATGCAATATGAGGATAAAATTTATTAGTATTGTCATTTGTGCAGGAACTATCCAAATGCAAATTGTATGTTACAGGTTACAAAGTTTTTTTGGGGAGGGGGATGGTGATGGTTATTTTTGTGTGTGCATTCATTATGAAATAAATAAAAGTGTCATGATTGTTATCTGCATTGCAAGATCAGTTTTTTTTTTTTTTTTTTTTTTTTAAGTTCGGCATTTTCCATGGTTTCTGAATTAAGAATTTTGGTATTCATTAGTTAAGCTTTGCTTATTAACAGTACTTATTACCTGTGGTGTGATGATGTAACATTTATATTTTCTAGAATATTAGAAATTATATAGATATAATGGATAGCATCCTCTTACATGTGATGTGCTTATTTTTTATATAGATAAATGTTATTAAAGTAAAATATATTTCAAGTTCTTTTTATGAGTGTATTAATTTTTACCTAATTTAATTTTAAAAAATTCACCTTAACAGTATCCAAATTTTCACTTAAAACTTCTATCAGTATAATTCTGGATTTAGTTGAAATATCTTGTTATTAAATCATTTTAATAAAATGCATATTTAAAGCTTCTTATGTGTTGTAAATTTTTTTTTGCAATCATCTTATAAGATTTTTTGTAAAACCGCTATCTTTTAATTAAACATTAAATTGCTTATAAAATATTCAATTGTTGCAATTTAAAATCATGCTTTATTCCAGCTAAAAAATGAAAATTTTTTACAGAATACAAAGTTTATTTGTTGTCTTGAAGTATCCCTTTCTTGTTCATTTCTTTTGTGTGTATTATTTCTTGTACATTTTCTTTGTGTGTATTGTTGTGTATTTGTGTTATTGTGTAACCATTGTTTATTTTTTAAATATAAGTCTAGATTATGAATGTTTAAAATAATATATTAGAGGTTAATGGAAGCTAAAAAGTTTACATGGCATTTCTTTAAAAATTCAGAATAGCGCAAAAATATTTTGAAGTATTTTTTTTTTTTTTTTTTACTTTTATCCAACACAATTTAATGATGCATATTCTGTATTAATAATTTACTCTTATATTATTATATATGATAGCACTGTAATATTCAAATATTAATGGCATGTCTATAGCATGGGTCATTTATTCATAAGGTTTGATTGTACTATGATATTCAGTGTATTATGATCTTTTTAGTACTAAAATGTTATGTTCTAATTTCTCCTATCAATATTTTAATATATCTGTAAATATCTGATGCTATTTATGTGCAGACTGTTGTGATTCTAATCTATTAGTCGAATTGGAAGCCCATTTTTATGTATAAAGTGAATAAATATATTTCAAAATATAGTAATAATCTGAAAGCTATGCAACAGTATTTTCAGATTTTATAGTCTTTAATTAGAAAATAATTTGATATGAATTTTTTCATTAAATAAATGAGCGAACAATTGATTTCAATTAAATCAAGCATTGTGCTTTGTATAATACGTTTATAAATTCTTATCACCACAGTAAGAATGGGTATTATTCCTCATGCAATGCTAATACCATAGCAATGCTGTTTTAGTAAGCCTTTTGTGTAGTTATCTAATTTGGAACAGAGCATCTGCTGTGTGAAATAAAGTGTAATACAAAATAATAGTATCTGCTGTGAGCTTTTTGTGTCTTCCAGAGGTTTAAAAAAAAAAAAAAAAAAAATTAGCCAATGCATCAGTATTGTTTATTCATATTTAAACTGTACTGCAAGCATGGTTGCATGTGGATATTCTTAAAAAAAACTGCTTGTTTGTTCATCAATGCATTGTGTTACCTAGTATTTAAGCCACTCATTAAGATATTTAAAATGGAAGTAATTTTAGAAGATAGTAAGATCAAAAAGCCCTGCTACTTTCTTTAAATTTTTTGTTTCAAAGTAAACTGTGTTCGTTGTGCCTTGTAAAATGCAGCTGCTATTATATTTATGTAAAACTGAAAAATAATTTTGTGTTTAAAGAAAATTTCCATTTTTTTGTATGATATAATGATTAGATTTTGATACATGCAAAAATTACTGTGCAATTCCGGATATTATTTGCTCGTCTTTAGAATATAAGAAAATTCTTCCATTTATTACTGAAGTTAAAAATAGTGCTCACATTGAATTATATTGAGGTTAACATAACAAGCAGTAATGTCAGTACACATTAGATCTAAATCTTTCCATCTCTCTTTTAAAAAAAGAAAGGGAATAAATGTAGATAAATATAATGTGATATGAAAATCTTAGCACTTTTTTTTTAATTATAAGACTAATGAATGTCTAAAATTTTCAATTTTCTTAATTACCAGAAGTGCTTCAATGGAAGATAATCTATTTCATAGCAATAATTAAAAGTGCTTATTTTGTAGTTTACGATGGTGGTTTAAAGGATTTTGTAAATTATTGTTAAAAAAGGCTTTTCAGATTTCTTATTGGGATTAGGATTCCTCAACTATGGTTATGTGAACATTATTTGGTTGACACAAGAGAATATAATTAGGAAAAAAAAAAAAAAAAACTATTAAATCTGTTAGAAAAATTAAATATCTTTAATTTAAGGAAATAATTTACGAAGTAGGTTTTATGAACCTGAACTTTACAAAAAAGATTTCCATTTCAGAAAAGCTATGGTAAATTTGAAAGTTTTCAATGAAAGTTGGCTAAGAAATTATTTAAAATGTGTTACTGATATTGGGCACAAGAGGAGGGAAGCAGAATTTATCCATTTTATTAGGCATGAGACAGCATTTGATTCAAATGTTCATTAAATTCATTGAGGGTGGAAAACATTTTGGCCTGCATTTTAGATTGAAAGTATGCTATTGAAGAATACATAGAGAAAAATTTGTTACCTTATATGCTTGATCAGATATTTGCTGTAGGAGGGGGAAATTCTACAGGTCATATAAGGATATTACTTATTTCCCTAGCAATGAAAACTAATAGGAATTTTTATAATGGTGCCTCTGCCCAGGGTTCCTACTACTAAGTCAGGAGACATTTTTATCTGTACATAAAAAATATATATAGAGAGAGAGAGAGAGAGCTAAATACAGTAACAGTACAGATAAAAATGTACAGATCAATTTTTCAGATAGTAAAAAGTTCATGTTTTAAATATTAATGACAAAAGAATTTAAACATTTGACATTTTTAAAAAGAAGTAAATGACGAGTTTTATATTTTTTGTTTTTCTTGTAAAAATATTTTACCCACCTCATATCAGATATAGTTTTACGAACTGATAGCTCTCATTTCCACTTGTTAACTAGGCATTGTTCATCTTTCTGTTTAGAATTTTAATATTCTTTCATTTGCGTCAAATAAAATGTAAGGTAAATTAGATTTTTATAATGCTGTTAGTTATTTCATTCAAATGCTAAAGTTACTCAGGTAATCACATTTAATTTGATAGCTAATTCATTGCATTTGATCAGGGAAATTATTTAAAGGTTTGGTCACGGAAAATCATAGAAATAATAAGTTCTGTTTTAAATCTAAATGGGTACAGACATGTGAGAAATTACAGGAAGCAAAATCTGAAATGTTTCTTCTTTTCACCATCCCCAAATACTGATGGCTTCCAATGCAAATGATATCCTTTCTCTAAACAAATGAAAGGATGTCTAGAAGAGTTATTCTTTATCTGAAAATCTATGGGATTATTATTATTATTTATTTGTTACACTATGTAGATAAAGTATATGCAGGCCCCCTTTTCATTTCTGTATAAATTGTTTCAAAGAAAAAGGTTGAGAAAAATCTGGTTTGAATAATCAGCATCCTTTTGCAAATTTCCAAAAAGTATACGTAAGAGTAATTATCTTTTTAGAAACAAAGTAAACATTGTGATATAAATAAATCTGACTGTTTGCTCATTTGGCATTAAATTGAAATTTAAACTTACATTTAAGAAATTTTTAAAAATCTTGATAACTTTAAGTAAACTGTTACATATATATATATATATATATACAGGTAAATTCTCCCATAACACGGTAGATAGTTTCCTAGAAAATGCCGTGTTGTATGAGACCCAGAGGTAGTACAAAAAGGGGGATTAAGTTCCGAAAACTTATTAAAAACAAATATTATTTTTAATTATACATAAAACAACTTAATTTTTATTAAAATATATATATGTACAAACACAAAAGAAAAATATTACCTATTTTAATTTAACACAACTTTAGTTTAATAAATTTCTTCGTTGTCATTGCTCAGTATAATCAACAGAGAACGTTTTTTTGGTGGAATGAGACCGCTTTCAATTTCAGAATTTCTTTCTTCATTTAAATGGCATTTTCTTCCCTCTTTCAAAAACTTGTAATTTTACCTAGTTTACTAGTTCTTACCGGGTCATTTTAAATTTCTTGTTGTAGAGCTAGACAGTTTTGCAGCTCCCTTTTGAATTTTTGGCTTATTTCAGCAGAAGGGTCTGCACTCGAGAAAAATAACTCGAGATTTTCAGCTAAGCATAGGCCTTCTTTTAATTTTTTAATGTTAAATTATTAACTTCACAATCTTCATCAGTGATAGTGTCCTCAGAATCGATTTGATTTACAGCTTCGGATGTCATTTCTATCAAATCGTCGTCAATTTCTTCTTCCGCTAATAAATCTTGAACGTCCTCAATAGCCATGTTCACAAAACCTTCACCTCTGATTGATTTAGCAAGTTCTAATATGCCACCAATTTCATTTTCTGACGATTCACGCACATTTCTATTCCAACTGAAGAGGGCCATATCTTCTAACATGCATTTAATGTTGATATTTTCGTTTCTTTCAGTGACAAAAATACGATGTCGATTCAGTTCTTGATTGAAAATGTCTTCCAAGGTTCCATTACATCAATAGATTTTGAATCGGTTACATCTAAAATCTACTGTAAGCTCTTCTTATGTAATATGTTTTTAAAGGTTTAAATAATACCTTGATCTAATGGTTGGAGAAACGAAGTAATGTTAGATGGTAGGAACAGCATTTTGACATTGAAAGGATTCAAAACTTGTGGGTGACATGGAGCATTATCTAATAGTAACAAGCGTCTTGAAGCTCAAATTTTTCTGCCTTAAATAACGTTTAGCATCTGGCACAAAACAATTTTAAAACCAATCTTTAAATATGTTCCCAGCTACCCAAGCTCTTGGATTTGCTTTCCAATATGCTGGTAAGGTGTTTTTATTTACACCTTTTACACACACATTTTATTTTATTTACCATGAGGATTTAAAGATCTATAAACTAACAATGATTTTGTTATAAAGTCTAAAGTCATACTGCACAAAAATAGCATTAGACAATTTTTAGACACCTTAAATCAGGATGCAGTTTTTTTCTTTTTTCGATATAAATGTTCTGGGCATCTTTGTTCCACCAAAGCCCAGTTTTGTTGGCATTGAAAACTTGAACTGCTGTCTTCTATAATATTTTGAAATTTTTCAGGAAACGTCCTAGCAGCTTCATAACCAGCCGATGGAGATTTTCCTTGAATTCTTATGCTATGAATTGCAAAATGCTTTTTGAAATTTTTGAACCAACCTTTACTTACCAGAAAATCTGGGTTGGCAGAGGGTCTCCATGTTATTTGAGGTGCTTGAAATATTTTTGTTTAATGATATTACCATCTAAAGAATTTCTTTTTGACAGCTATCATCAATCCAAATGCTGAGTGCCTTTTTCATCTTCTCGATTATTGATGCCCCTGGGGGCGAACTGCACGTTTTGTGGATGTCTAAGATCCTATAGCAACTGCACTTCTTATTTCTTTTTCATTTTTCTTAATAGTCCGGACTGTTTCTTCATTCCACTTAAAACTTTTTCCAATTTAAGATGCCTTTTCTCCTTTTAAAAAACGGTCAAATTTTGTATCCGTATTTCTAAAAAAAAGAATTTCCTCTTAATTTTTTTTTTTTTTTTTTTACCTTTATCGGACATGTTTGAGAACTGAAATTTAAAATTTAATGTCTTAAAGACGAAAAAGTTATTCTTTAACACACCGTGGCTCGACGCAGACTGCCGACCAGCAGAGTGAGATACTTTTGTTTTCAGGCCATGGAGACGAGGATTCAAATTTTGGATGCCAAACTTTCAGGTTGTGCATTTTAGAGCACTTATTATGACCTTATGGTTTTCACCTTCTGCGAAAGTGAGGTTTCTTCATTTATGTGGGGGCATTTGTTCATACAGGTCATCTGAAGACATTTGTTCTAACGGCTACCGGATCTTGGAAGACAACTGGCAGAACTTACGAAACAAGGATTCTTATGTATTAAATGACTATGTGAATGCACAATATGGAAAAACTTTGAGCGGAGTTAAAATTCTTCCAATTGCTTGGGCAATTTTCTTATCATGTTGGGCAAATTTTGAATCGTGTTATAGCGAAACCGTGTTACAGGATGTCGTGTTGTAGGAGGACTACCTGTATATAAATTTAGTTAAGTATAACAGTGAAAGAATTTTGAAAGTGTAAGTCTAAATTAGAATAAGAAATAATGCTTAAAAATTCTTTGAACAGAAAAATTAGATTTATAACTATTTATTTGCAATAAATATTAGTAATGTGTATCATTATCTGCTGTATATTTTATATATATTTGATTACATTCAGTTTTAGCAAAAGTTCAAATTTTCATGTATGCATTTCTAATAAATTGAAAGTTTTTATTATTTTTAAATTAAAGAGTTTGGATGTGTAATATAAATCCGGATTTAATTTATGTTCTTGAAATAAAATGTGAGGTTTGTAAGGGGGTGGTCAACAACTGTAAATGGAGGTTTTTTTAGTTTATAAGACAATAGTACAAATGCTTTGTATGTGTAATTAGATAACAGTGGAAAGCAGCACATCTGCATTGTAAAGTGCAGATGTGCTGCCTTTTCCACTGTTATCTAATTAAAAATATACATGCTCTGGATTATTTTATAAAATACTGATTGAAAAGTAGTGTAGAACGTGTAGTTATGCATTTGAAATTTGATTTGTACTTTGTATTTTGTTTTGATTAAAACTTTTTCCTTTATCATGTATATATGATTTAAACTTTTTAATTCTGTCCAAATATTCCTCATAAACATGATGAATATTTTTATTTTTGTTACAATTGTACTTTCTTCCTGAATTTTCTTTATAATGTGTTTCCTAAATTCTGCATTATGCCATGCCTTCCTAAGTAAATAGTTCTCAGTGCTTTGCCATAATAAATTTCTTCTTATCCTTGTGTATTATTGCAAATGAATGTTTTAACTTTTAAAATGACAGACAAATGAGCTTTTTTTATTTAACAAAGTCATAGATACATGCGTCAATTATTTTAACCTTCCAGCATGCGCGTATGCGCAAAATTTACGATAAATTCAGTTTTTAATGCACATTTTTCGCGTATCGAAGCTGAGACGTATGAAGGTCATTTCTATTCCTCCTTACCCTTCCCCACATAATGGAATATGATAATAGGAAGTTATCACGACACGCGTGTGGTCGTGTTTTAAAATTCGGAAAATATTTTTTTCTCAAATATTTTGTAATTTTGTGTTATTAATTGCCGTGTATTATTTTAATTTGAATACATTTGGCTATGTAAATTTTATATTGGTTTTCATGGCAAAAAAATATGTGCAACCAGCTGATTTTGTTCGGATTCTTCAAGAATTATCTGATGAAGAAAAGGAAGACAAGGAAACCTTTGGATGGGAAAACAATGGCAATTTCCATTCCTTATTTTCTTTCCATTCCTTATTTTTTTATTTCTATTTTTTAGAAATAAATAAAAACATTAAAGTTAGTTTAAAGTGCATTTTTGTAAGAAGTAAATTTCCTTGCAGAAGTAAGTAATGCTAAACTTACTTTTTTTCCTACCAAGGTGTTTTCCTTTTGTATTGTCTATACTTGTCTTTGGTGGATGTAAAAATTAGCTTCGACTTTAAATTATAATTATTAAATAATAAATTAAAAATTTTCTATGATGAAATACATCATTGCATTTCCATCTCACTAACATAAGAACTTAAAAATAATTTACTTATATTTGAATGTCATATCGTTTGTATTTTCATTAATAAGATTAATATTTGATTTCTTAACAAATTTATTATCAATACTTACTCATTTCTGTCGTTTTTCGTGCCATAAACGGTAAAATAACGGATGTCATAAAAAAATAAGACGTGCGCGTGCTGGAAGGTTAATGTAGCAGTATCTTAACCACTTGCGCTACGATTAAACTTCATGGTTGCGGTGCCGTGCGCTACAATATAACAAGCAATAAAGTGTCTCATTTACGCCACTCCGCATCTGTGAGTGCAATCCAGAGCTGTAACTCGAGAAATAAACAATCTCGTTGCTAGGCGACGTGTGCACCACGTTGTTTTCATTTTTGCGATAAATGCCTATCGACGTGGTGTTCATGTCACTCGTGGTTTGAGACAAAAGCATGCGTGGCACGTCTTTTTAGCGCAAGTGGTTAATTAAAAAATAATGTAGTTTTACAGTTCGCTAATCAATAAAATTTTATTAAATAGAGCATAAGAAAAATAATATCCATTTTCTTATAACAGCTGTGACAGTGTATTTTAATTTGGATGGTAGAGTTTAAATTTGCACTTTTTTAAATTGCAAAATACTGCATATTTCTTCAATTGCTTCTAAGCAAATAGTATATTCATGCACCTGTATTCTAATTTAGGCTTTTATTGATTTTTAAAATTTAGCAATTAACTCTTGGCCGAATATGAATTGATTATATGAAGTAAATTAGAAAGATGATATTTATCATTTGGTGAGGCAGACTTTTATTATATGAATTATTCAGAATGCAAGTGGTTTATTTATTTCTTTTTTTTTTTTATGGCAATGGAATTAGATATTCGAGTGACTTTCAAAACTTTTAAGTAAAAGATTCCTGCATATGAAAATGTTGCTCACAATGGCATTGATTATTTCCTGATGTAAAATGCTTTTAATTTTCATTCACAGCTATAATAAAGCAAGTCTGTTCATTCTCAAAAGGAACTTGTTAAATGGCACAAAAGTCAGCTATGAAAAGACAAAGATGTTTATCGAGCTAGAGAATAAGTGTATCTCTTTGAGTATCATTCTTTCAGTGTAAAGGATGATAATATTTTTAGGAATGTGAGATACAAAACAATCTTCTATGAACCCTACTGATTTTTAATATGTTCTATTCCCCCTTTTCTTGTAAAACATGTGCAAGGGATCTGGTTTTTAAAGTAGCCGAATTTGAGATGTTTTATGGGCAATAGCTAGTCAGTCCTATAATATGGGGTATTTTTAATTCTATATAGCAGGAGTGGCCAAACTTCATGTCAGTAAGCCACATGTTGTAATTCAGGAAAGTTAGAGAACTTCAATTTGGTTTTCCAAAAACTGCAAGTCCATATTTACATCATTTTAAAAGTAGTGAAAGAAGCATCTGATTCTAAACAATAATTCAGTGACAGTTAGCCTTCAGCATGTGATAAAGTGTGCATGTGCATTAAAGACAATGCAAAGTTGTGTGATATCTGTTTTCTCTGATTAGTTGGTTGTAGTAAAAAATAATTCCCCACCCCCAGTTTTTAAATACTTAGATTCTTCTGCAGTACCTTCTTATAAATGTTCATGAAACTTTGGATTCTTCTTAAATCTGTGCCACAGCGACTCAAAATTATTCCATAATTCCTCTACATACTCATTCCAAAGCAAGCAATCCTGTCTAATTGTCCTAAATTTCATGAATTCTCCCAGTTTTCTAAAGGTAACATTGTCTTCTGTGCTGGGATTGTAATCAGATTTATTAGAAATTCCTAAAGCTTGCAGTTGCCATAACTTTCTCATCTATTCGACCCTTGAATCAATTTCTAAATTATTGAAAAATTCTGTATTAAATGCTTCTGATGCATTGCACGCATTTTCTGTTCCACTCATAGGCCACCTCAGTTTACTTTCTACCACTACTCATAATTCAGAAATTCAGCTGACATTTCCTTTAAAGCATCTATTCATCCATTCAAAAAGCATCTACAAGCAAATCTAATGTTTTATTTTACAAAATTGTTTGATAGAATCGGTATAGTATTTTTCTTTTTATGCTTTCAAATAACATTATTGAGTTTCATAACTAACAAGAAATTAAAATATTTGGAGATTGATCAGCTTAAGTTCACCAATAACTTTGTAAATGAAAATAAATAAATTACTTTCTCTTATGCATTGAGTAGTTATAGCTTACCATACTTCATATGCATATTTTAGTTCTATAACAGTTGTGCTGTGGCCACTCCTGCTACGTAGTTTGGGCCACATGAGGCGGGGGGGGGGGGGGGGGACCAAGTTCCTTGATTTTAATTTTTGTTAGTTTAGATAAAAATAGCTTGTATATTTCAAGATAATATTTCTGCAACCATTTGAGAGCGTAGGAAATTCGTCATTGAATCTCCAAAATTAACAGTTTTTCTGAAACAGCTGAAATGATGTGTATGCTGTATATAGCCAGAAAATTGAACAGCTTGAACTACTTGTATAAAATTAATTTGTAGATCCTGTCCAATTCCCCACCCCCAAAATAATAAAATAAAATCTCTCAACTGAAGTAGATGTCCCAGGCAAAGACATTGCAAACTCAAACATTTAAAAAATACTGCAACATAAATTATCAGTCTCTTGAAATACCTTAAAAATTACTTTTCAGTTCTCTTCAATAGCGTCTGGTACTTTTTCAGAACCTGATCCACAACCTACCCTTTGGTTTTGAATGATATGGTTCAACAATGTACAGTCATCAATATGCACAAAAACTTTTATAATTTCATTAACAACTTGTGCATGCTTTTCTAAATCAGACCAGCCAATTTCAGTTCGTAAATTTACCCATTGAAACTTACTAACTTTATTAAAACTGTTTCTCTACAACTCTAAGTGTTGAATACTAGAATTATAAAAATTGTGTACACTTGAGAAAAACTTTTGTTTCTGAACATCATTATTTTCTTTTAGAGTGCATAACAATTCCTTGGTCGAAGATGGTAACAATGTGTGGGGGTTTTCCCCCTTGAAGTAAACAAATTAATTCAGAATATGTCTGAAATGCTTCTGTTGCTGTGATAGAATTAGCTTCCAATTCCAGAACTACATTATTAAATAACTGTAGAATACCATATAAAAATTTCAAAAACAGTTCTCTTTCTAGATTAAAAAAAAAAAAAAAAAATCAAATAAAAATTTTGGGCATTTGTCCCAAGATAGGAAGTATGATTTTAGGCCACCCAAAATGGAAAGAATTCTATCTATTGCAGGTAGCAAACTAAGGAATCTTGTGCTGCTATGAACTACTTGTACTGTATACATGTGAAAAATTGTTAATTTTTATAACAATAACTTTTATAATCAAGACACAATAACACGCTGAATAAATATTAATTCAGAAGTCAAACCACAAAAATCAGCGTTAAGTTTGACTTCTGAATTAATAACTTTTATGTCGAGGGGGAAAGAATCACATGCTGTTTGTACTGAATTATGTACAATGTGGGCTGAACAACCAATTCCTAAAATAAGTTTATCTAAATCATTTTGAACTTTTCTTGAACACATTTTCACTCCCCTTTCCCTTCACACCACCAAAATTACTGTTAGTGTTATTGACAATATAACAAACCAACTTTTCTTCTAGTTTTTATTTTTTCAAGCACTGCAAAGTTTTATCAAGTCAAACTTTTATCAGTTCCCCCTGACACTTCATTGAAATTTAAAATCTTAACTAAAATTACCTCCTGCCGGTTGAAATAAATATCTTACAACAATCAGAACACATTTTACTTTACTTCTGTTTGAGCTGCATCGATTGTTACTGTTACATAAGTAATATTTTCAAAAGAACTTACTACATTATCAAATATGTATTGGCAAAATAACTTTAACAATAATTGCCTCGGTTTTTGTTCTAGCAGATGAAAATTTTGAGTGATATAACTTTTTAACCAGTTTAGATGTGCAGTCTGATGTTTTGAAACTGAGTTAGGAGTGTGGTCTAAAAATGTAGCTTCTTTAGTAGCATACTCCAGATCACTGTTATTACTATTAACTCCTCCTGTGTTTAGCTGTTTTTACGTGGTCTTCAATATCACATTTTCCTTTGTGTAACAGAAAATTCTCCAGCACATTGGGTGCAATAAATGCGTTCATTGTTACTGTCATTACATAGTTTCAAAAATTTGTATTCCT